CCCTGGGGGATGGACAACAGAAAAGTGGGTGAAGTGAGACATTGAACAGTGTAAGATATGACAAAATAATAATTTATAAATTATCAAGGGTTCATGGGGGGCAGCAGGGAGGGAGAGGGAAAAATGAGCTGATACCAGAGGCTTGGATGGAGAGCAAATGTTTTGAGAATAATGAAGGCAGTGAATGTACAGATGTGCTTTACATAATTGATGCATGTATGGATTGTGATAAGAGTTGTATGCGTCCCCAATAAAATGATTTAAAAAACCAAAAAGCAACCCAGGACATAATTGAAGTTGATTGCTAGTTGCTTTAACAAATTGCCAATACTGTGATGATTTTCAACTTTGTCTTCCTATTAGAATTTCCTGGACACTCCAGAAAAACCTGCAAGCCCAGGCAACATTTAGACCAATTAGTTTAGAATTTCTATGGGTGAAACCCAAGCATTGGTATGTTAAAAAAAATTGTTCTCTAATGATTTCAACATCCAGTTAAGGGTGCAAACAACTAGATGATATCAAGCTGAACTACATGCCAAAATAGGCAGATACAAGAAAAATTCATTAAAGCATATGGCATTGAGCGTTCTGTGAGGGAAAAATGTATAATGTAGTGATGATGAGCAAGAGTGTTAACAGACTTAAATGTAAAGTGTTTGGAATTGTTTCTGGAATAGTCTTCATTTATGCTTGAAGCATATTTGATCTGCCTATGTATTTTAAAAGAAAGTATCTTATTCTTTTGTTATCGAGCATATCCCTACAACATGTGTATCAATTCAACAATTTCTACTTGTACAATTCAGTGACGTTGATTAACTCTTTCCCAACCGTTCTCCCTTTCCTTTTCCTTCTCAATAACCCTAAACTCCCGGCCCTCAGTTTCCTGCCCAACCGTCCCAGTTGCTGCTATCCAGCTGATCCCTCATAGAGCTGCAAAGAGCACATTTCAAATCCTCCTAACTATGGCTAGATCACTTTCAGGGTTACTTTCACCATTGAGTCTGATTCAGACACAAAATGACCACTGGTTGGCTTTCCCATAATTCCCTGTATTGGTAAATCAGTGGAAACCAGGCAAGAGGCTAATGATAAGGTGAACCAATAGGGAAGCAACAGTAATGGCAGCTAAAACCTAGTGAAGCACTTTAGCAATGACCAGACATTTAGGATTCTGAAGAGATGCCCCAGATGAAAAGTTAATTGCAGTGGTTCCCTCAGTGACTTAGGGGCTGTCTGAAGATCTCACTGCCATCAAGTCGATCCTGATTCATTATGACCCTGGAAGGCAGGGTAGAACTGCCCTTTTGAGTTTCCAGGCCTTTAAATCTTTATGGGAATAATTGGTCTCAATTTTCTCCCAGAGAGTGGCTGGTGGGTTTGAACTCCCTGATGTTGTGCTTAGCAGCTCAGTGAGTAGCCCACTATGCTACCAGGGCTCCCTTGCCCGAATGTATGATAAATAAGATGTAATTTCAGACATTTTGTATAAAACAAAGAAAGGTGTTGTAATTTCAGACGTTTTGTATAAAACAAAGAAAGGTGATGGCATATGAAATTGGAAATTATATCTCACTTTATTACATTCTAAAATTTTAAAGCAGCAGAAACATAGAGTATATTTCCTCAGCTTTGAGTGTATAAGAAAATACTTTTTTAGACAAACTATATTTAATTCTATAATTCATACAAATTTTCTATTCTGATAAATTATTATCATTATTACTTTGCTTGGAAAATAATATAATGATAGTAATTTATTAATCATTGCTCTCAGTGAGTTACAACAGTACCAAAAATCATCGTACTGAATCTTCATACCATCTCTTTAAGGTAAATACTATTACTGTCCCCATTTGACAGATTAGGAAACTGAAGTCCAAAAAATGAAGTTACAAATT